GCCGGGATGTGACAAAGGCATGAATTACTGTCTCAAAGTGTTCATGAGAGAGGAGAGGTTTTACTTTGGCCAGCTGTCTAAGGTGAAAGAAGCTGGATTTAACAACGGCACCAATTTGCCGGTCAAGTTTGAAATCACTGTCCAGTTTAAGGCCCAAGTTTGAGACTGTTGACTTAAGATAAGGATACAGGGGGCCCAAGTCGACAGGATGGGATGTACAAGGGCCACTGGGACCATTCAGTATCACCTCTGTCTTCTTTTCATTGAAAGTCAAAAAAATTTGTGCCATCCAGGTTTTGATTTCTTCCAGGCAGGATAGAAGTGGCCTTAATGAGAAGGCGTCTTTTTTGCTCAATGGGACATAGATCTGGCAGTCATCTGCATAGCAGTGGAAGGAAATACCATGTTTCCTTAAGATGGAACCCAATGGGAGCAGATACAGCGAGAACAGCAGAGGCCCCAGAATTGAACCCTGTGGAACACCACATGAGAGGGGAGCAGTGCGTGACTCAGAGCAGCCAAGGCTGACACAAAAGGTTCTGTCAGCTAAATAGGACCTAAACCACTCGAGAGCGCGACCGCCAATGCCCACCAAGTGCTGCAAACGAGTCAGCAGAATACTGTGATCCACTGTATCCCGTGCTATGCATCGTTGAAACCTGACTGGAAGACCTCCAAGATGTTATGTTCGTGCAAGAAAAATTTCAACTGCATGTGCACCACTTTTTCCAGAATTTGTGAAATGAAAGGCAGTTTGGACATGGGCCTGAAATTTGACAGCACGCCTCGATCAAGACCAGGTTTCTTGATCAAGGGTTGGACCACAGCATGCTTAAACTGTTGGGGAACTATACCAGAAGAGAGGCTTCTGTTGATAATGTCCAAGACCGATGCACCAACACTCGGTAGAACCTCCTGAAAGAAATGCAGGGGAAGAGAGTCGCAGTGGGAGCTAGATGGCTTCGTCTGGCGAACTACATCCTCCAAAAGCTTCAAGGACACAGTTTCAAAAGAATTCAGCACCGCTGCACACGGAATATGGACAGAGGAGTCAGATGCGGTATTTGAGACCGAAGTCCTAGCTGTAGAGACCTTATCAATGAAAAACTGAAGGAATCGGTTGCACATCTTGGGTGAAGAGTCCGAGCAAGTAGGCAGAGGAGGTTTGAGTACAGAATCTATCGTTTTAAATAGTGTGTGTGGGTTGTGACGGTTAGCTAGAATAAGGTCCGACAGATATTCTCTTTTGGCCTCTTTTACTGTGACCTGGTAGTTACACCAGCAGTCTTTCCAAATTTGATAAGAGACCTGCAATTTGTCTTTTTTCCACTTGCGTTCGGCTTTGCGACACCCCTGCCTAGCTGCGCGAGTTTTGTCGTTAAACCAAGGCTCGGGTTTAGTTTTTGGGAGCACAGTTTTTGAAGGAGCCACCAAATCCAGGATGGCACGGCATGATGAGTTGAACCAAGAGGTGAGTTCCGCTGTGTTAGACGAGGGTACGCAAAGGTTATTTAAGGCATCAGAGAACCGACCAGCAGTGCGAGGGTTAAAAATTTGGCGGTTGCAACTAGGAGCGGCAGATTTTACAGCAGCACGCGATAAGACTACGTCAAATAAAACTGCCATGTGATCAGAAATCCCATTTTCAAGGACTTCCAGATTTGACACCGGTAGACCATAAGCAAGGACAAGGTCAAAAATATGTCCTTGTTCATGTGTCGGGCTGGTCACATATTGCACGAAATTTAAAGAGTCGATAAGTCCTTTGCTAGTGGTTTTTCCGGACAGCACACATGGATATTAAAATCCCTCATGAGGAGGATATGATCATATCTCAGCCTGATTTCGCAAGAAAGGTTGAAAAATCGCTTAAAAAGTCATGTATAAAAAAAAAAAAAGGTGGAAGCCTCCAACCCCGCCCCTTCTTGCATACACCTCCACAGAGCGGGTAATACGACGTGCTCAAGCTGCTCCTGCTCAGGAGTTTCAGAGAGAGCTGACAGACCCCTTTCCCTTCCTGGGTTGAGCGATGGCACTGCATTGGATTCCTTTTCCTACACATTTTCCTACGACAGGCACCGCCTCCTATGCATGCGTTGTTGGCGAACTCCGCTTATCTGGCTGGTGGCAATTACTGAAGCTGATTGAGTTCTGCTGGCTACAAGACGGTTCGTCGTGCAGAGTGTGGCGGCAGATCCCTTCCTGGAAGCGACACGAGGTGCGGACCCGACGGTGGTGGCTGCAGTGGTCGCACGGAAGTGGCACGAGAAGGCCTTCTACTTCTTCCAGCAGCGGTTGTGTACCCCGCTGAACCTACGAGGCTCCGGGAAACTTCAACATTGGCATTCAGTAGCGGCTGTGGGCTCCGACAGAGAAAGCCAGCTGCTCTTCATCACGGACTCGTCGTCAGGAAGACGTTTCCTGGTTGGCAGTGGGTCGCAAGTTAGCCTGCTTACGCTCACTGCCGCAAATGAGATGGCAGGTGGTTGCAGGCCACTGTGTGCAGTTAACGGCTTGCCCGTTGCCAATTTTGGATCCAAGGCGTTAACTGCGTGCTTGCATTGACGCGATTTCCAATGGAACTTTATTGTTGCTTCAATCACTGTTATAGGCGCGGATTTTTGTGTGCACACGGACTTCTAGTGGATGTTCCTAATCGCCATTTGATTGACACTGTCTCTTTCTCGACTTTTCCGTGTGAAGCTGGGGGACTCGGACCATAAGGTCACGCAAATTATTTGGCATTAGGTGACGTTTATCATCCATCCATCCATTTTCTGAACCGCTTTTTCCTCACAAGGGTCGCGGGGCATGCTGGAGCCTATTCCAGCTGTCTTTGGGCAGTAGACGCACCCTGAACCGGTTGCCAGCCAATCGCAGGGCACAAAGAGACGCACAATCATACACGCTCACACTCACGCTTAGGGACAATTTAGAGTGTTCAATCAGCCTGCCATGCATGTTTTTGGAATGTGGGAGGAAACCGGAGTACCTGGAGAAAACCCATGCAGGCCCGGGGAGAACATGCCAACTCCCCACAGGAAGGCCGGAGCCGGGATCGAACCCACGACCTCTTCACTGTGAGGTCGACGCGCTAACCACTGGAGCACTGGGCCGCCCCTATGCTTATCATTCGTTTATTTATGTGATTTTCCGTCATTAATGGCTTTTTCCATTGCGAAGCACAGGGTGGAGCATTCACACGGACAAATTGGCAGCTGCGAAGGGAGAATTTGGGCCTCAACCTTGCACATGGTAACTACAAGTGATGGTTCATGGCAGCCTTGTGGTGATTTTCGTCGATTTAACAATATTACCATGCATGCCTGCTACCCTATTCCTCACATTCAAGATTTTTCCACACGTTCGCTGGTACCACCACTTTTTCCAAAGTGGACTTGGTCCGTGGTTAGCACCAGCTGCTTGTGCGGGCAGAGGATGTTCCCAAAACCGCAGTGATAACCCCGTTTGGGCTTTTTGAATTCTTATGCATGCCTTTTGGACTGAAGGGGGCAGCACAGACTTTTCAAAGACTGATGGACTATTGAGAAGGTCACATTATGTTCACCTGTAAAGGTTTGAATGCATTTTAGGCACATCCTGAAATTCCTCCCGAAAGCCAAATGTCCCTAAGTTTTTGTGAGTAGAGCATAAGTATAGAAAGACTTCCCGTAAAGTAAGGGTACCATTGTGAAGCAGTATCACTCAATGACAGCTGTGGTACTACTGCACTACTACTACTGGAATGTCTTTATTTCGGGGCAGACGTTTTTCAAGTCCAATAAAATTGTGGTTCTCTGTAGAGCGAGTGGATATGAATGCACTTTCAAATGTTTCAAATATTTGGGTGTTTTCTTTCTAGACAATTTGTCTAGAAAACAAAATATGTACTGCGCTGGTATTTTTCAGACTCACTGGAGGACAATGCCTGTTGGATGAGTGACAAGTTGATTGGTTTTGGGAGTTTGAAAAGTTACTAGCGTTGACAATTTTACAACCACTGCGTGCACAATTGGGAGATACGTTTATTATATACAATATGACGAATGTCAAAATCAATGCATCACATTAGAATCATGCATAATTGTGTCTGATGCAGCAAAAAGTACAATGACAAATGGATCTTTGATGATAATAATAATAATTATTATTTATGCTTGAACCTCAGACATGACCATTCAACATTTAGTAATGACCTTTTTTGTGAGATCTCCTTTCCTTTGACAATACCGTATTGGACCCAAAATATGAACATGCAAGTAAATGTTCAATGTCCAATAAAAATTACATCCTACGCCTGCATACAGGAAACTTATCTGCACTGAATTGACACGCTCAACCAAATATTTACAAAACAATTTGATTGACTCAACCAAAATTAAATCAAAATCCATGTGTAGTTTTTCTTTCTTTGCAAAGTAAAAAAATAAAATAAAACACTTCATGAAACATGACCAGTGAATGCTCAGTCTTTGTTTAAAAAAAAACAAAAAAAACAAGAGATTTCCTAATGCCCAAACATATACAGACTATAATACACACCCACTCACACACACACACACACACACACACACACACACACACACACACACACATTTTGTAAAACCATGTTTACACAACCAATGCTACAGTCTATTGATCATTCACAACATTTTGGTTTTCATTTCGTAAATCGTATTTTGAGAATTATTTCACAAAAATTAAGTTATATCAGAAGTGCTATTGTTTTGCATAATTATTGGGGCCAGACTGATTTATTTTTTAGACCGATGCCGATTTCGGTATTTGGTAAAATAAATACTTGACAATAGATTTTAAACATATATTATAGCAGTGTTTTTCAAACTTTTTTGAGCCAAGGCACACTTCTTTCATTGAAAAAAAATCTCGCGGCACACCACTAGCTGAAAATGTGAACCCCCCCACCCCCGCTTATTTTAACAATTAACGTGTTATATTGTTACTATAACCGTTTTTAACATTGAAGAATGATGTTATAACAGCTTGAATTGGAATCAAATGAACACAAAGAAAACAGTATTTTATCATCTTTCATATTTATTGTTTAACCGTCATCCTGCATTCATGCGTCACAAATTCGCTTGTCTCTCGTCGAAACACAAGGCAATTGGCTAGCTGTTGCTGCTCCCTAGCTGTATGGGAGGGTACTACATGATTACTTTCTAGGCGAAAGACCGCACAGGCATATAAATTGGATATTTTCCCACGGCACACCTGACAATGTCTGCCGCGGCACACCAGTGTGCACACCAGTGTGCCGCGGCACATGGGTTGAAAAACACTGTATTGTAGAATCAGCCATCTTTGGGCAGTAGGCAGGGTACATGCTGAAAAGGTTAGTCAACGGTTTTGCACCATTTCAGTTATCTTGATTTTTGGGCTTGGATAAAATAGTGTTCGCACTGCAGCTAAAATAAGGACCTGAGCACCTTTATTCGTGTCAGTGGCTTTGTATACGACGCAACTTCAAGTTAATTAATTCATCACTACAGCATGCAGTTATCCAGTTAGCTGTGTCTACAGTATAGCCTGAAAAAAAATTAAATAAAAACATCTTCCCTGGATGCTACAATTTACAGTTCAGCTCAGTGTTGTTATTTATAATTTCCAAGTGAGATGCAATGGATGGATGGATTGATGTGTTTTGTGTTATTCAGACAACCATAATATGTTGGAATGTAAACATGGGTATGTACTGTAAGTAGCAGGAAATATGTGCTTAAGTCTGTCATGCAGCGCGAGCCACGGGCTAAATGGCGAGTGTGGAAAAAAAGGTTGCGTTTCAATGAAGTGTCTCTGATATGTGGGCCTACAAACCGACACACCATCGCGCAAGGAGGTTCACACAGCGGACAAGGGTGATAAGTCTTTGACGAGATGTATTTTTGCAGCTCAAACATGTCGGGAGGAAAGATGCTTGACGTAAGATTTGATTGACAGTTGAGCGGTGTGTGATTTCAGCCGACACGCTTGCTGTGTTCGAGAGTGGAGACGATTTATTTTTTCGTTTGATCATTCAAATTTGGCAGAGTTGTTAACCATACTTTTTCTCTGGTGTGACAATTTTACAAGACATTTTTATTCTAAGTTTACAAGGGAATTTTCCCGATATTGCAGCCATTCACAAGCAAAAGCCAAGAGCTTCAACATATATTTAGTGGTAATCTGCTACCTTTTGGGATTTGTCTTAATCCTGCTAACATGAAACATGAAAGAAGCTACTTATTTGTCTTGTAATTTAAATGCCCTTCCCCTCCCTCCGTGTGTTCTTTTTTTTCTTCCTCCCATAAAATGGTTTTCTTTTAATATTTCCACTTCATTGTCTTAATTACAACTAATCAGTGTTAATTTTCTCTTAAATCCGGCTCTTAATATTCCTTGGTAAACAATAATCTGTCTTTTAAATCTTCCAGTTCATTTTAGGATAACACCAAGGTCTTCCATACAAACATGTGAAATGATCTAAGGCATGCTTGGACCAACTTAGTAGCATGTGCGAATAAGAATGATGAAAATCAAGATGACAGTAACAACGGTCAGAGCTGAAAATAAAAAGATAAGACCGGCAAAGACAGGATCAGTCAATGGGAAGACTTCATTCATCTCAGACGGGATCATACTGGAGCTATTAAGCATGTAGCCCAAACTCCAACCTACACTGGTGTTCTTCACCTGAAAAGAAGATAAGAAAACAAAAAAAAATCAGTAATATGTACAGCTCAATGATGTAGCTGTTAATCATTTATGAGAACCTTTCCTGGCTTGTAAAACGCAACAAAGCCCGTCAAAAAGTTGTCATGTTCCAACTCAAAGATGAGTCAGAAAACCCAAATCTCCATTACGATTCTTGTAATGAATTCAAGTGTGTCTGTTTGGAACAGTTGCCAGAAAGCCTCCCAAACACCCAAAGGCAATGAACAGCACACAGAGCCTCTTGTTAGTTGGGCTTGTCATTTGGGAAACACTGCCAGCAGTTATGGACTGTCGCTGGTGTGTGAGCTGCAATACAATGTAAAAAGGGCCAGCTACTTTGTTTTCTCTTGTATCACACATAAGGAATTCCCTTCATTTGAGGGAGCCTCTTTGCACAAAAAAAAAAAAAATATATATAAGCGCCCTATCTTCGGGGCATTTCTGAAGCGTAACATTTCCTGCCTTTCAACTTTTTCAATGCAGATGGTTACCATGTCATCATCAAGATGGGTGGCATGATTAATGATGCATCTGGAACAGCTAATGGAGAGTGGTGACAGTACAACCACATTATTGTTCATCGACGATGTTAAGATGTCATCTCACATACTTTGGTGTATGTCTGTGCATGCACACAGTGGACACTCCATTAAATATACTAATTGGGATGTTTTTTTTTAATTCAGTCAACTCACCTCTTTTTGAAAGTGAATGTCTTTCCACGTGTTTGTGTCAAATTTGTAACCGTTCGTCAGCAAAGCGAAGATGTAATGACTTGCAAAGCAATACGTGCGTAGGTGTTTGTCTGAGACCCATGTCTTTTGATCCTTCAGCTGAAAAGGAAGGAAGGAATTTGAAATGGTTATTTTGTGATTAGGATAAAAATGTTGCAAATCAGAGATATATGTCTTGGTTACAAAGGGATTTCCTTATGTTTGACATTTGCATCTATCTGTCACGGAAATTGACCCTGAAGATGCACAATTGGTATTTCAATTTTCAAACATGAAATGATGTATCTCTTAAACTGATGAAACTTCAATCAAAACCTTTGTGTATCTCATGAGTGCAACAAGTCAGAGAGGACAAATATTACATGGTGTTCTTTTTGTTTAGATTTCTGAGCTTGTTTTCAACAAGCCAAAAAAAAGAGAACATAAATAGAACAGAATTTGTAAGAAACAAACAGACACACATTCAAGCAATAAGAATCCAGTGTCACCCTAAACTTTGTTTTTACAAGGTACCAGAGTATCCAGGGATAATCCACGCTAATATGGGGAGAAGGCATAAACTCCACACAGGATGGATTCCACCAAGACTCAAAGCAAGAACCACTTGACTGTTCGGAAGATGTGCTAACCACCTCACACCACGCATCCACAGTGGTGTTCACAAACTTAGCTAAATGGGCAAGGCTTCGATTGGAAACAAGGAACAGGTGCACCTGTTGGAAGGAAACACCCTTCATTCCAGCTGGAGATGGAAAAAAACAAAAACAGGACATGACAATTATAAGGATATGAGCAGTGACCTAAACATGCATGAAAACTCACCAAACTCTGCACACACATAAGGCCTGCCAAAAAAATTGACATTCTAGAGTTGTTATACACAATAACAATTACTCAAAAAAAGGACGTCTTGTGTCTCCAACAGTCTGAGAGGCATGTGTAGCACCCTGTGATGTACAAAAATGTCAGCGGAAGCCAGATCCGAAAATGGACAGGAAGTGAGCTCTGATTTTTTTTAAATTTTTAATTTGGCCACCTTTGCAACCTTCTACTCGAGGTATCATCTGATTGACTTTAAACATGGTCTGTGCAAAATTAAGACCTGGGACAAGAACAGGGATAATCTTGAGTTTTCAACTTACTATGTGATGGAAAGTGGTCATAAGATTTTGCACTTATTATTTCCTCTGTCACAAAAGAGCAAATTTTGAAAACCTCGGCGGTACATAGTCCCCCCAAAAAATCCCAAATTTCAATATAAATTCATGGGTTAGTCACGGCCTGAAGACATTTGTCCATCCATCCATCCATCCATCCATCCATCCATCCATCCATCCATCATCTACCGCCTAATTTGGTGTTAGGTCGCGGAGGCAGCAGATTAAGCACGGAAGCCGAGACTTCCCACTTCCCAGACACTTCTTCCAATACTTTCGGAGGGATCCCAAGGCATTCCCGGGCCAGCTGGGAAGCAGAGGCTCTCGAGCATGCCCTTGGTCATCCTGACGGTTGGAAAATGCCTATAACACCTCACTAGAGAGATGTACAGGAGGCATCCTAATAAGATGCCTGAGCAACTTCAGCTGGCTCCTCTCAACGTAGAGGAGCAGCGACTCTACTCTGAGTCCCTCTCGGATGACTAAGCTCCTCAAGCTATCTCAAAGGGAGGGCCCGGGCAACATGTGCAGGAAAGAACATTTCGCCCTCTTGTATTTGGAATCTTGTTCTTTTGTTCACAACCTAGAGCACCTGATAAGGGAAGGAACGGAGATCCTTTCAGCTCAACTACTACTTCACCATGACAGACCGATACAGAGTGTGCATCAAAGTAGATGCTGCACCGATCATCTTGTCGATCTCAAGCCCCATCCTTCCTTCATTTCTGAACAGGACCCCAAGATAATTGATCTAATTCACCGGGGGTCATCACAGACCTGGAGAGGGCATTCCACACTTTTCAGAGTGAGGACCATTGTCTCAGATTTGGAGGTGCTGATTGTCATCCCACTGCTTCTTACTCGGCTGCAAACCGCTCCAGTAAGAGTTGGAGATCTTGACTTGAAGAAGCCAACAGTACCACATCTTCTACGAAAAGCGGAGATGGAATACTGAGGCCAACAAACTGGGCATCCTCAGCCTTAGCTGCGCCTAGAAATTCTGACCAATAAGGTTATAAAAAGAATGTTGGTGGCAAAAGGCAGCCTTGGCAGAGTCCACCTCTCACTGGAAACAAATCTGCCTTACTTTTTCCCAACCCCCGCTTCAAAAAGCTGTGCACTGCAAAATGTATTAATTGTAGCCATCAATCCACACTTCCTCATTTTGCTTGAATAAATAAATAAATCTGCAGAATTTGTTTTATGGGTTAAAGTGTTTTAAATATTGTATTACTGAGTTAATGTTGCTTATTAAATACAGTATTATTTATTGATTTCATTATATTGCTTTTTTCAGAATCAAACTGTTCAAGTTGTCAATCAAAAAATGTCAAAATTTTTGTTTAAATTCCAGGCAAAATGACGCATCCAATCCATTTTTTTCGTTTTCTGTCCCGTTAATAAGGATGTAATGTTATGCAGTGCTCTTCTTATAATAATTTTCTTGACAAATTAATGTCTTTATTAATTCAGCGAAGAGTTGGGGTGCACCAAATGTTTTTATATTTCCTCGGGAGGCATAGCAGAAAATAATTGAGAACCACAGATATACATCACATTTGCTCAGAATAATGTTCAGATTTTAATCATACTTAAACATGAAGACTGTGAGTTTTCACCAAGCCTCGTTGCCATGGGAATGTGATATTTACCAAGGAAACAACACTGATTTTTAGGGTCTAAACATGTACAAAAACTCTTGAAATTTTGTACACACAACAGGCCTGGAAAAGCATTCAATATTTTCTAGGTTTGTAGTGCATTTTCAAAAAATCCGACATTTATTGAAAGAAGTGATAGATTGATAAATTTTAGTTATCATACATTCGCTTTTACCAAGGAAACAACACTGATTTTTAGGGTCTAAACATGTACAAAAACTCTTGAAATTTTGTACACACAACAGGCCTGGAAAAGCATTCAATATTTTCTAGGTTTGTAGTGCATTTTCAAAAAATCCGACATTTATTGAAAGAAGTGATAGATTGATAAATTTTAGTTATCATACATTCGCTGATTATTAATGTTATTATTGTTATTTTGATATTGATTGATTGATTATGCTCGCAAAGAAGAAAGCTTATGCCTGCAATGATAAATTGATTATGCTTGCAAAGATGAACGCTTATGCCTGCAATCATTAATTGACTATGCCTGCAATGAAGAACGCTTATGCTTCTAATAAAGATATAATGCTTCTTAACCCTTATATTATGTTAA